CTGACAAATAATATATATATATATATATATATATATATAGTTATATAGCACTTTTATGGCCCCGATCCTACAAGCTGCTCCGCAAGCCAGATTCAGTCGCTCCTGTGAGTGTCTCTCCACTGCAGACGGGATGTAGTCAGTTGGGCTCGGTGCAGGGGTCTGCGTGGATGAAGTAACTTGCCGGGACAGGGTAGATGATGGAAACTGACTTTCTGGTCCTTGACATAGTCTAATCACAAGGGTAGGAACTAGACACTCTTGTGTTTGATTCTCTGTTCTTACACTAAATTGGTGTGTGATCTTTAGGAAAGTCACTTGGGCCTGGATTTCTCCGCTGTCTTTGAGTTCCTTAATTTTTGGGTGCCCAAGTGCTGAGTGGGTTCGACTCCAGTGAAAGGCAGTCAGAGCAGTGGGTATGCAGCACCTATGAAAATCCAGGTGCCTGGATCTGGACACCCTAATACTGAGGCACCCAAAATCGGAGGCCACTTCTGAAAATGTCGTCCTTAGCCTTTTGGTGCTGTCATTCCCTAGCTATAAAATGGGGCTAATGACGCCTCCCCTACTTCACGAGGATGTTCGCCTGACTGAGAAGCACAGAGCAGCCTCCCTGAAGTCTGTGCAGGGGTTGGCTGGATTAGCTGAATGTGACTGCTGTGGTTTGCAATGTGAGGTGTAAATGCTGAGTGTTGTAAGGGGTATGTTGTCTCGGTCCGCAGCATGGCACAATCGGCATGCAAATACAAGGTACATATTGGAAAAAAGTATGAAAATAAGCATTGGTTCGTGCCTCGCCTCTGCTTTTCAGCATAAACGACACCCATTTTTATCTCTGCTGTTTTGGAGACGTGCTACAGAACTTCATCTGTAGGGAAGAAGGTCTGTGAGATCCAGGGCTGTGTGTTTAAAAAACGAACAGAAAAACAACCTCCTGAAAACTGTAAATTCAAGGCCCTCCTTACCTCTAGGATTTTAGAAAGGGTGTGTGTGTAGGGGTGTGTGTGTGAATGAGCCATCAAGTGCATGTGTAGGGAAAGTATTGGAGAGGTTTGAAAAAATCTGCCTCTGAGCAGTTTGCCTGTCTCTGATGTCATTGTGGACTAAGGGGATGTCTTGACTCAAACTTACTTTGTGGTCATCTACAGTCAAGTTAGCTAGCTTGAGCGACGGTGGCGGGCCTACCGCAAAATAACCCAGATGGGTTGGATTAGCCACACAGAGCAGCTGCATTCCTTCTGCGTTATTTGCTTGAGCATCAGCAGCACTCAAGCTTCCTCACCACCCCTGTGACAGGCCAGCTACCTCGAATTTAACGCAGCACCTAACCCAAGCTAGAGATTTGTGTGTGTGGATGGGGGTCAGGTTAGGGGCAGTGCTCAAGTTATACCTTGAGCTAGCGCTGCAGTGGAGACAAGCCCTTAAGTTAAAAGTGGGGCATCAGATCATCCCCTCCCCATTTTGAAAAGCTGCAGGAGGGGGCTTTGTGGGAGGAAATCTCTAAATGGAGTCACCTCCTCTCTGCCTCCCCCAAACCTAGTTGGAAGAGCCAGGGCCGTCTTCTCAGAGGCCCTGTGTCTCTGGTCTTGGCTGGGCAGCCCTCTGCTTCCTGGCTCCATTGGAGTGCTGATAGTGTGTGTGTCTGTGTCCCCAGAGGGGCTGTGCAGGAAAGGCTGGGGGCTGAAATATCTTAAGGCGCTCAGAGGCCAAAGGAGAATGATGTATGTCTCTTCCCCTGCCACTTTCCCCACCCTACGAGACCCCCCCAGCATGGAGTGTCCTCTACTCCAATGACAGGAGAAAGGGTATCACAGCAGGGGCCGATCCTCCCTTTTGCATGGAGAAGGGGAAATCCATGCATGGAAGGCGCTCATGGTATTCATATAGCCCAGGGGGAGGTTTTGGGGGGCCAAGGGAAAATGCTGCGTGCCTTCACACCCAAGGAAAATACAACAGAATGTCCCAAATTCCCTCCTCCCCCAGGTCACACACTGCTCGCTCTCCCTCCCCTGTCTCAGGAAGGATTTACAAAACATCTCCACTGATGCTGGCTGAAAATTTTAAGCCAAAACTTTTTCCCCCAGAGAGCAAAGCTGCTTCGGCGACACTGGAATGTTTTTCGGAATTCGTGTCTTGTTTCCGAATTGTTTAGTTACAAAGAAACCTGAAAGAAAAAATCCGATATTCGCACAGCTCTAGTTGGGCGGCCTCAGGTCTTGGGTGTCCAGCTTGAGATCGCCAAAGGCCTATTTTTTCAGAGGTGCTCAGTGCTCTAAATCCCACTTGGAAACCAAGGGTGCTGCAAGTGCTGAATATCAGTGAAAACCAGGCCTGAGGAATGGGGTGGCGGGAGTTTGTCAGCTTTTGGGGGTAGCTTTTTGTTCTGTGTCTGTATAGTACTTAGCACATGGGGGTCCTGGTCCAAGACTGAGGCCCTTAAGTGCTACCACAGTACACATAATAAATAAGAATAATGCTGGACCCTTCTGAAAATTTTGTCCCCATCTCCTTCCCCCTATGGATGAGTAAGAGTCCCTTAGTGATGAAAGAGCCTGCAGCACCAGTTTGGCAATGTGTTTTATATTGCCAGCTGGGGTACAGCTCCTCCCAAATAAGTTCTCAGCAGCAACCCCACCTGGCCTCTCCCTTTCCCCCTGCATTTTCAGAGAAGGGGTCAGGGGTTTTGTGGTTAGCAGCCAAGTGCTGTAGGGCAGTGGTTTTCAAACTGCGGGTTGCGACCCAGTCCTGGGTCGCGGAATGGAAGGACTGGGTTGCAGTGGCTCTGGTCAGCACTGCCGACCGGGCCGTTAAAAGTCCCGTTGGCGGTGCTGCCCAGCTAAGGCAGGCTAGTCCCTAACTGTTCTGACACCGCGCTACGCCCCAGAAGCAGCCAGCAGCAGGTCCGGCTCCTAGGTGGGGGGGGCCACAGGGCTCCATGCACTGCCCCCTGCCCCGAGCACTGGCTCCACACTCCCATTGGCCAGTTCCCGGCCAATAGGAGCTGGGGGGTGGTGGTGCCTGCGGGTGAGAGCCACGCGGAGCCACTTGTGCACCTCTCTGGCTGCTTCTGGGGCGCAGCGCAGTCTGCAGTGCCAGGACAAGTGGGAAGCCTGCCTTAGCACCCCCATTGCGCTGCTGACCCGGAGCTGCTGGAGGTAAGCCCCTGCCCCAACCCCACACTCCAACCCTCTGCCCCAGCCGAGAATCCCCACAAATCAGGAGCCCCCTCCTGCACCCCAAACTCCTCATCTCTGGCCCCACCCCAGAGCCTGCACCTGCAGCCCAGAGCCCTGACCCCCTCCTGTATCCCAACCCCCTGCCCCAGCCCAGAGCCCCCTCTCACATGAACCCCTTATTCCTGGCACCACCCCGCAGCCCTCACCCCTGCACTCCAACTCTCTGCCCCAGCACTGAGCCCCTCATCCCCAGCTCCATTGGGTCACGGTCATCAACAATTTTCTTCAACTGGGTCACCAGAAAAAAGGTTTGGAAACCACTGCTGTAGGAGTGTGTGTGTGTCTCTCTCTCATGAGTAATCTTTTGTTTCTTGGAGAAGATCTGTTGCAGTTCAGTTAGGAAGTATCCTAAATGAATAAACCTAATCAATGGAGCTGGTGGGGGAAAGAGAAATAAATTTTGTGAAATATTTTGAAAGGACTGAAAAGAATTCATTTCATTTGAAATTTCCAGTCAGTTTTTTAAATGAAAATTTCTTGTATTTTCAGGTTTTGAAACAAAGCTTTTTGAAATTTTCAAATACTTAAAACAAACAAACAAAAATCAAACCAAAAAAAAAACAATTAAAAATTTCATTTGTCAGCAGG